AAAACAGTCTTTGCATTGCCTTCCTTCTTATCCCAACGTTAGGATAGATTGGATGAACTTTATTTTTAATGAAGATCCGGACCGCGTCAGTAAGAACTCGGTCCTTTGTTCACTTCATTTTACCACAGATTCATTTATAAACAAGGCACAAGGTTTTCAGAAAGATTGAAACTAAAAGACGATGCTGTGCGACTATATTGGATCCGACAGTAATGTCGCAAACACAAGTGTGAGTAACTGTTTTTATTACGTGGTCACTATTGCTTTGTCTCTTCTTACAGTTCGTTTGATATGTATTGAGTTATTTATGCGTTCTTGACCTAAATCACAGCAGCGTCCCTCTGTGAGGAATGTTGCTGTCAAACATACACAACTCTGAGCCAATCACAGCAGTGGGCATTTACTTCCGAGTCTACAATCCTCCACGTCTATTCAAACAGAACGTTCTCATGAGGGGGGTTAAAAACAGGACAGAAAATAGCCTATTACTTCTAAATTATGTTTTTTGATGTTAAAATCTTGATAACATTATAAGTGGACCTCAGAGAACAGTACAAAATAAAAAACAAAGGCAGTTCATGACCCCTTTAATAAAAAAAGTAATAGTATCTCATTGTGTAAATGACACACACACACACCTGCAGCATTATCCGTGTGTTTCTCAGGCCGGAAGTCCAACATGGAGGAGGTTCAGGATGAGCTGATTCACAGACTGACTCTGGGCCGCAGCGCTCAGAAGAAGTTCCAGGCTCCGTCTCGCTCCTCCAGCAGCCTGCCGGCGGTCAACATCACGTACGACTCCATGCCGGACGAGGTCAAGGCCTGGCTGCAGCTCAAAGGCTTCAGCGAAGTGTGAGTGACTCTGTATCATGAGTGATTAAAGGAGTCATCGGATGCCCATTTTCCACAAGTTGATAAGATTCTTTAGGGTCTTAATGAAAAGTCTATAACATACTTCAATTTCTCAATGGTAGTGTGAAAAACTCAATTTTTACTTTGTTAAAATCAGCTCTGTTTTCAACACACCGTTTTAGTGCATGTTCCTTTAAATGCTAATGAGCTCTGCTGACCCCGCCCCCTCTTCCGTGCCGTTCTCATGAGACTGTTTACTTTAGCCTTTAACTTGCTAACTAGCACGTTATTAGGAAAGGCGATTTGCAAAGATTCATAAAAGAACCTTATACTCACTTCTTCTGGAGGTGAAGCTGGATCACAAATGATTTGCGCGAACATAGACGCATTTAGGTAGATAGGGAGCGCAGTTCCTTCAGAAACAAACGTAATCCACTGCGTCTTCAGCGGCTCAGATGTCGGGAGTAAATGGCGACTGCTATGTTCATTATTACATCCAACAACAGAACACTTCAATCGGTCAGGAGCCATTCTTTTCTGCTTGTTCAGCTGTGAAACAATGGCGGACTGATGACAGCTCGCTCAGGGCGGAGCTAAGGTGAAACGCTAGTGTCAATCAACAATCGTGGGAGGGGCCTGTCTGTGTGACGTAACACTGACAGGCATCTGAGATAGGCTTGATTTGAGAAAGGGGAAATGATTTAACGAGATTTAAAAAAACAAAAAACACTGGGTGGATTTTTATCATTATAGGGTGGTTGTGTGCCAACACACATTTCAGTTCAAACAACTTGTAAAAGTGCATGTCGCATCCGATGACCTCTTTAAGGCTGATGGGTTGAGCTGTTGTGGTTTGGTCTGCAGGACTATCAACAGTCTGGGTGTACTGACCGGTGCTCAGCTCTTCTCTCTGAACAAAGACGAGCTGAAGACCGTCTGTCCTGATGACGGCGCTCGAGTCTACAGCCAGATCACCGTCCAGAAAGCCGCTCTCGAGGTGAGTCGACGTCCTCTGCTTCTCCTCACAGATCCTTCCTTATTTCTCTCTTCATTCCTCTTTCAACTCTTCTGTCACAATCCATATGTCTCGGACCAGATCACATCACACTGACCGTGCGATTCTGGATCCATCCAGAAAGTGATAGCATAATAGTACTCCCTGAATCGAATCTCGAGTCTGGTTAGTTAATCTGCTGATAAGTTGCTCAACTCTGTAGTGCCGCTTTGGTTTTTCTGTGGTGTTTTTGCTGTCTGCAGGTTTTCTTCTGACCCTCTCATGATCTTCACATGTAATCCACGTTCCTCTGAAGGTACTTTAGTATCGTAGCGAGGCGGCTTTGCTCTGTTTAGTTAACACATCATTAACCAGTTCCTACTTAAAGGGATAGTTTACAAACCTGTATGAGTTTCTTTCTTAAACAATATATTTTAAAGAATGTTGGTATGCAAAGAGTTGATGGATACCGTAATGTGTTAGACGTCAAAAATGGTTTGATTCCCAACATCCTTCAAAATATCTTCTTTTGTGTTTAAAAATTCAGGTTTGAAACAACTTGAGTGTGAGTAAATGATGACAGAACTTGCATTTTTGGGTGAACTGTCCCTTTAAATTGGAATATGAAGTCCACACTTAGTTAGTACTCTGCTAAGTACTCTGTACTACTAATAATAGTGTCATTATGCAGTTAATTTTTTGTTCTCATCTGATAGCGTCAGTGCAGTTAAATCAATAATATTACTCAATATCAGTTGTCTTTTAAACCCTCTCAAAATTAAAAAAAAAGCACATAAGAAATGGCATTTATTTCGATTGATCTTATGATGCACAGCGACTGAAGTCTGACAGGTAAACATGACAATAACAGTCAATCTGCTGTTTTATTCCAGCTGTTACTCCTGCTCTTATCAGTAAATATTTAGTTTATGCATTATGTTTAATGGTTCAATACAAAAATATTTAGTAACTTGCCACAACTAGCTGGTGCAAATGACCCCTGATGATCCTGACACAGAACCGCTTGTTTCCTCCTCCAGCTCATATTATTATTTCTGTCATGACAACTCTCGGAGGGATTGGCATGGTAATGTACCTGACAGTGTTAATGTATTTGGTCTTGGCGGAATAGATCTGCTACGCTGCTGATGCGGCAGAGCTAGTACCGAGACTTGCTACTGCCAATACATCCACAACATGCTGCTGTGAGCATGTAAGAAATACTGCTGCTGCACATATAGCATACATGAAATAACCCCCATATAGCGTACATGAATCAACTCGTAGCAGATCTATACAGGTGGAGCTGGGGAAGCAAGCTGCGACTGCTACGGCAAGCACTAGTCATATATTTGAATGTTAAGCAGCGAGCTCATTGGCTACCGATACAGGAGAGAACCAATCAGCTGTGCTATGTGATAATGATGTCATTAGGTCAGATTGCGTTAGACCTATCGGACTGCGCCATCTAGAGTTTCATGCCGGAACTCTGTATTTCAACAGCACAATTTATTCTGTTTGCACATGACTGATGATCTGCATTTCATCGAATCTGTTTGAAATCAGAGCGAGTGCACATTGTAATAGATGCTCGTGTTGTTTAATGGCTTCTGTCTGCTGTCTCCAGTCATAGTTAGAGAATAGATGCTTTCCCAGAATCCCCTTTACACGTCCATCATTGTTAGTTTAGAGCATCTGATGAAGACCCTTCATACTCATTCACTCGTTTCTGCTCTTCCTCTCTCTGTCTCTCCATCATGCCGCAGGTGTTTTGAGGTATTGAGCTTCACGCAGCTTGTTTAAATGAGCATCTTGTGAGATGTAGGGCTGGGTTGATTTCTCGATTTTAATCGATTCTCATTTTGATGAACTGATATTGATTCTTAAATTCCAAGAACCGATCTATGCTGTTTTCTGTAACAAAACTTAATGAAACATTATTTCATTAACACATCCCATCCAGTAAATCACAATAAGCTTTGTCCTTAGTTACATTTGATAGGAAACAAAGTCTCAGCTTTCAATCGTTCATGAAATTCAAACAATAAATACTGTTTTGACACTTTTTAAAGTGGTGACAGACCGCTGTAGTGAATCGATCATCTCTTCCTCTTTACTAATAGTTACAGCAGCAAATAAACATGAATGAACATCAGAAGAAACAGAACAACTTACTGAAATTAATCATGTTTCATGTAATGTGTTTTAAATACAGAAAAGTGTCAATAAATCAGCTTTTGATCAATAATGTCACATTTACCTCCGAAATATATCCAATGACCATAAACTCGATAGTCAGCTAGAATGAATAGCATTTTGCTAAATATATGCACTTTATTATATATTCATTATATTTTCACTTAAGCTTTCCTTTAATATTAATTGATATTATTTAAAAAAAATCTATTTTCTATTCTAACTACTTGTTTTATTTAAAAAGAAAAAAAGAGCCTCTAATGCTAGTATTCTCTATTCTTTGTCTATTCTATCTGCTTATTTTCTTTTTATTTATTATAAATAATGACCCTCTAACACTAGCGTTCCCTATTCTTTTTCTATTCTATCTCTTTGTTTTCTTTTTATTTATTATAAAAAAACCTTGCTATGTGTACTAACCGAGACTTGTCACAGCACTTGTATATTATTGATCTTTTCTTAGTTTTGATTGCTTCTATTGTCCTCATTTGTAAGTCACTCTGGATAAAAGCATCTGCTAAATGACTAAAAGTAATATTTAATAAATCCATCATGAAATCAAGTTTTGACATCCACTATACAGTATAAATGTTCATATTTAGAAAAAAAGTGGAGTAGAAACATAATTATAGCAATAAAAATATACATTTTATTATATCATTTTTATTTTAAAATCTTTGTTTATAATATAGTTTTTACAGCATTAGTTGAGAAAGATTTTTTGTATGTTGTGTGCATGCATGTATACTTCTGTATGTATAATAGTTTTTTTTCCCCTTTCCCTTTCTTTCTTCTCTCATTTAAATACACACTTTATTATATACATTTCATAAATTATTACAATTATCTCATATAGTATTATTATAGATAATGCAGTTTCTTGTCAATCCTCCTGAGGGGTTTATGGGTGGGGGGAGGTTATGTAATGTTTATTTTTGGTCTGGATTCACCTAATTCAGTGGGTTAAACATGGGGATAAAAAATTATTTAAATAAAATAATTATTACATCTGTCTGTGTAATAATAAAACATGTGGAACAAAAAAAAATTAACACGTACTGTACCCGATTGCTTATATGTGACCCTGCAGCACAAAAGCAGTCTTAAGTCGCTGGGGTATATTTGTAGCAATAGCAGACCCTTATGACTGGTTTTGTGCTCCAGGGTCACATATATCCAAAGGAATCAATATTGATCGGAACTGAATTGAACTGCAAACTTGTGAATGGAAATCGAATCAAATTGTGAAATCTGTCTCAATCCCCAGCCCTAGTGAGCTGTTTCTGAGTGTCTCACTGCATTCTGTCTGTGTGTCTGTAGAGGAGCTCCGCCTCGGAGCTGCAGGAGGTCATGAGGCGGCGGCAGGAGAAGCTGGCGGCGAGCGATTCCGGCGTGGAGTCCTTCGACGAGGGGAGCAGCCACTGACCTCTCTCACCTCTGTCACCTCTGACCTTTTACAGGACGCCGTGGAGCGCGCTCAGTTTGCCGCCATAATGCGTCGTCGCCAAGAACTCTTGGACCCGTCTGATAACGGATCGGATGCGGACGAACATGCGTGACGAGACGCGAGAAGAAGTTTGCTTTTTGTAGAGATGTGAACGTTGCTGCAGCGTTCTCCGTAGGTTCCTGTGAGAACATCAGAGCAGTATGTAGTCTAGTGCCATCGAGTTCTGCCTTCATAATCCAACATCCTGGAAGCATTCATATATGTATATATATATATATGCAGTCACATTGTACTTTTACTGCTCGGACAGAAAACATCTGTAAATATTCCCACACGATTGACTGGATCTTGGACCAAATATCGATTACTATTGTTCCTCACAGACACTTCTGACTAATGGTGTCTTGAAGTTCAGCCAGATTATTTATCAGCCGCTTTGAATGTACGTGGAGACTACTCTCATTTTTACTAGCAAAATCATATTTCTGTACATGACTGTTTTGTACTGAATCGTACTGCCAAAAGAGAAGCTTTATGGAAATGAAATGTCCGTTTCTGTAGATCTGACATTTGTTGCGTTTCACAAGGACATGTGACGGGTTTTGGGCCAAAATCCTCTTCCTCCTCTCTCTGCAGATCTTATTCTAATGATGATATTGATGCCATCAAACCTTCTGAAATATAAATGACTTCTTGTAAGCATTGATTATTTTCTTCTCTGTCCCAGTAATGTGACCGATGTTTGGCCAAATCAATCTCTGGGTTCAAGGTTTCTGTTTAAACACAAATGTAAATATAAAGTGTGTAGAATAAACGGAATCATGTGACCTTTGTGTGGCATCCATGATAAAAAGATGAAGATCAACTCTCAGACCAGCATTTTCTACCTACAGCAAGATTTGAACCTGGATGCAGACCACTGAGCCACAGTCTTGAGAGCTTAGCTGTAAGAAGAAGAAAAATTCAATAAAGAGAGAGATTCAAAATAGCATTCTATGCATGAAGGATCGTCACTCAGGCCACTGAAGCGTCTTGGCTTATATACTTCTTTTTTGGAGGGAGTTTTATCTCAATAATTCAGAACCAATGAAAGTGCTTTATTTCCTTTTGTCAAATATGAGTGTAATATAAAATTGAGCTGGACTGCTATAGCATTCCTTAAGGCTGAATCAACTTTGCTTCATAACTGACAAATTTTGCAAGACTTGTGATTGATCTGAACTGAACCAACACTGAACTGCTTATTTTTCTCCTGTTTATCACTGTGTATTACGCTCTGTATTGCATATAGCGATAGGTGACTTAATATATTTGATAGTGTACATATTTTAGAGAGAAATTATACATTTAAAGGGGTCATGACATAAATCAAATTTGCCTCGATCTTTTGGCATATAAGAGGTCCAGTGTTGCCAACTAATTTTCAGGGGAAGTTGCTAAAGGAAGGTCGAAGGTCTTTGTAAAACATCCTGCAAGTTTCATAGATTAAAACGTCCTCATTATAAACAAAGCATTTATTTATTCAAGCTCCGTTTGGATCAGAGGTGCCAGAGGACGTAACCCGGGTAAAAATATTTGCATAAACACCGCCTCTTAACGAATAGTAGTCTTCTCACCATAGGCCCCGCCCACTGGCGTTCAGCCGCTAACGGCTAAATGCAGATTGCGCTGGATACAGTAAACAGATGTGCTTCACTTTCTGTCTGTCGTCAGTACTAAGGTTTAAACAGCTCGTTCACGTCTTTGTACAGATATCAGAAGGATCCCAGCGTAAGGAATAAGTGGATAGTTTATTTTTAATGGCATCCCGGATCGTGTCTGAGGATTGATCGGAGCATTTTGTTTTGTAAACGAGGCACAGTGTCATGTAGAGTCGTAAAGAAACGTGTTGAAAGATGAAGCGGAACTAGATCTGACTGCAGCTGCATCACAAACCGCAAGTAACAATGATTCCATAATGCTTTGTCTGGAAATGACCGTTTTTATTTTCATGTTGTCGAAACGCATGCAATAGCGAGGGGGCTAGTGTTTCCTATGCAGTGACGTTAGCCAATCATAACAGTGGCCGATTACTGACCAGCCTTAAAGGACACGCCCCTTAAAACAGCATGTTTTAGAGGGTCAGAATGAGGTTTTTCCACATTAATAACTTTAACATTATCAGTAAACCTCAAGGAACATATTCAAACTCTAAAAAAAATCCATGTTACTGAGGAAAACTGACAAGCCTTAAAGGACACGCCCCTTAAAACAGCATGTTTTAGAGAGGGTCAGAATGAGGTTTTTCCACATTAATAACTTTAACATTATCAGTAAACCTCAAGGAACATATTCAAACTCTAAAAAAAATCCATGTTACTGAGGAAAACTTTGGATGGATTGTGATTTGTCTGAAGTAAGTTATTACATTTGGATGAAAGATGTTTTCATACGTGACCCTGGAGCACAAAAGCAGTGTTAAGTCGCTGGGGTATATTTGTAGCAATAGCGAAAAATACATAGTATGGGTCAAAATGATAACAAACCATACATCAATGGAAAGCTTATTTTAAAAAAGTGACTGGTTTTGTGCTCCAGGGTCAGATTTGTGCACTGAATGAATCGTTCAGGATATGAGCAGGAATGAGTCAGGAGTCCGTTTGGATTTCATGTTGACTTTAATACTGCAGCATTCAGAACTACAGAAGGAGATCCTGAAGAATAACACAGAGACACATGAAGCGTCGGCGAACGTTTTAGATGGACTCCTATAATAATATCATCTCATGCACACATGCAGGAACCAAATAAAGCAGAGTTTAAAGGCACCAAGCGTCCATTCTGAGGTATCAGAGCATCTGATTCATTCACACTGAAGCTGGTTCGGTTTCACCTCATACTGAGTTTTCAGTCCAGTGTCAGAATGACTGTAGAAATCTAAACAGGAGAGATTTCTGTAGAGGTCAAAGGCCGTATTTCTTCTGTAAGCCTTGAACGGAAGCGTCTCCCAGACCTGCGCTGTGAATCCAGTCAAACAGCTCCTGTAAGACTGACAGAAAGAACAGAGTTTGTGTTTATTCGCCGCTGTGCGCGCAGTGTTCAGTGCTTGTGTGTGTTCGTACGTTTCTTCTCGGCGGACGACATGAACATGACGGTCATGTCAAACCTCCTCACGCTCGCCAGGCTCCTCAGGACGGCCAGCAGAAGAGACGCATCTTCATGTCTGAAATCACAGACCAGACACGGGAAACAGGAAATGACATCATCATGTTGAACTCTCCTTGTCTGCAGTAAAGGCACACCAGCGATGAGAACTATAACCATAACTCACTTTGAGTCATTTTCTTTCCAGCTGATGAACGATAAAAACATTGAGAGCCAATCAGAATCTAAGCACTTAAAGTGGCAGAAGGCAAAACTGCAGCACGCTTATAATAAACAGAATGAAATCGTTATAGCTAACATTGTAGTTATTATAGATGTTGTTTCTGTTATAGTTGCAGTTATAAATATTGTTACAGTTACCACTGTTATAGTTACATTACCGTTATTGTTATTTTCATCATTATAGTTACTATTACAGTTATCATTATAGTTGCAGTTATTGTTACAATTCAGTGTTATTTTACTGTTATTTATAAACTCTTATAGTATTCTTTAATATTTAGAATTAGCTTTCATTTTTAGATTATCAGTGTTCATTTTAATTTTAGTTCATGTTTTGGTAATTTTGTTATGGCCTTTGTCATCGTTATTCATTTTTTTTATTTGCTGTAGTTTATTTCCGTTTTAGTAATTTTAGTACTTCAACTAAAACCTACTTCAGTTATTTCTCATTTTTGTTTATATTTTTCATCTAGTATTTCTATTTTACTTTATTTCACTTACAAACATTCTATCAGTGTTATTGTTAACTAAAACTAAAATGATTTTTAAAAATAATTTTAGTTTTAGTTAACAATAAAACTGTTATAGTTAACATTATAGTTAGTTATCGTTACCGTTAGAGTTGAGTGTTATTTAATATTATTGGTATACTATTATAGTATTTATTGCTATTTAGAATTAGCTTTCATTTTTAGATTTTCAGTTTTCACTAGTAATAATTTTAAGTGTTGTTATGGCCTTTTGTCATTTTCATTACTTTTTTATATATTTTTTTTTATTTAGCTGTAATTAATTTTTTTGTTCCATTTTAGTTTTAGTAATTTTGGTACTTCAACTTGTATTTCAGTTAGTTGCAAAGTATCTTTTCTAATTTTCATTTATGTTTTTCATTAAATATTTATATTTTATTTCACTTACTGAAAATTATTTTTTCAAATGCTTTAGTTAAGAATAACACTGCTTTAGTTATTATTAGTTATGGTTATAGTAACTTTCGTTAAAGTTATCGTTCTTGGTTCATCATCATCAACAGTTTACATGTACATCATCATCATCCTCATCCTCATCATCACGGAGCACTCACTGAAAGGAGCTGTGGAAGGTCTTGAGGATGTGGTTGAGAACATCAGGCTCCAGAGAGTTCTGGAAGATCTTCAGATAAGCGTCTGGACTGATTTGCTGCAATGTTAAACGTTGAGATGAGAAGCACAGATAGAGGATAGTAGGGCTGGGTAAAAAATATTGATATCTCAATATTAATTGATTCTCATTTTTATGAAACGATATCAATTCTTAAATCTCAAGAATCAATTAGTCTAGTCTGTTTTCAGTTAATGGACGGAACGTTGAAGGGCACTTCCCATCCAATATATCTTAATAAGCTTCGTATGTTTTGTTACTTTTGATATGAAACAAAAAGTCTCAGATTTCAAATTCTGTCCACTGTATTGCAGTATTCAAACAATAAATGCAGTTTTTCAGATGCGGCAGCGCGTAGCGCATGTGAACTGATCATCTCCTCCACTTTATTACTAGTTATAGCACAAAATAAACATGACTAAACATCCGAAGGCAAGTTACATATTCTGTGACCATAAACTCGTTAGTCAGCTAGAAAAATAAACTGTAGAGAGGGGAATTTTGCTGAATATATGCACCAACATATTCATTATAAATATTACTGTTCTTCAATGTTTAATTTATGTTTGAATAAATCCATATGTTTATATTTAAAAAAAACGAATTGAAGTAGAAATATTATTATGTAATTGTAACTTTATTATTTTAAAAACTTCACTGTGTATTTTTAACAAATCAGTCAATTTTAACCTTCAATATTATAATAATGTAGTACAGTATATTTTACAGCATAAGTTGAG